TATATATTTTATATATATGATGCACTCTTATGTATATAAATAATTTATTACATGAGTTGTGGTGGTCGTTCATGATTTTACGAGAAATTGCCAAGTTGTAATCACTAGTTTCAACGAGTGATTACTACTGGCAGTTTCACAAGTAGGATAAATCATGATCAACCACCATAATGAGTGTAATATTTTTTTGGGTACCAGACGAATATCAGCTGGTGAAATACATCTGTACCAACAAAGTTCAAATAACCAGTCAACTGGACAAGAGGATCCATTCTCGAGTCTCACATAAACACAAAATTTTAATGTTCGTGGCCGTCAGGGTCAGAATGAGGATTGTAAAAAAATTGGATTGTTTCCCTTTACTTTTAGCCAGGCTAATTTACATGTTGTGCTGTCCGTATACCTCTCTCCGCGAAACGAAACGAACCCCAAATCAAACAATAGTAACCTAAATATATGCAAAGTAAGAAGAAAACGTACGATTCTAAAGTTAAAAGAAAATGCACTGATACGGTATGTTGTCGTTAGAATAGAGAACTATCACTTTCAGGCACGGTTCGTCGAAAGAGCATGGTCGTGCAGTGCCACCCAACATTTTTTAATGTTCTTTTACGAAAAGCACCCTCAAACATTAAATAAAAGAAGTCAGAAACAAATACTAAACATATATAGTATTAAAACAAGGTCCTCGCAGGCGCTGTAACTGTCATTTCTGTTTCAATCGCCGTAAAACATCTATTATGCCATGCCAAAGTCCACGAGCTTTAACTAAATGTAATATAACATTCAACAGTGGATATCTGACCAATAAATCTCTCTTTGGGATAACCCAAGCGATGACGACACTCTTAGCGAGTTTGGCGGTACATTGATAATAATATTAACAAGACGGCACATCTCAAATGTGCACCCACGAAACATAGCCCACAGTAGACAGTCGAAAAAACCCCCACAATAGCCTGTGCACTATTCAATGCCAAAACTATGTGTTCCACGGAGCAATCCAGCGGAGTGCTCAAGTGAATTGTGATTGGTTCATTGTCATGCCACTATTTTAAGCGACTCTGTGACCGTGAACCCGAGGGAGGTGAACGTGACATACTTAGGTCATCGCCCTATGAGTTGTGCCTTTGAATGGTTTTGTAGTGGAGTGATGAAAGTTATTACTCGAGCGTTCAGTTCCAAAGCAGGATAAAGAACTTGATGTTTAGCTAACAAACAGATTTAGTTCTAAAAATCAAAGGGACCAGTAAAAAAGAATGAAAAGAAAAGCATAAGGTCCTCCTTCACCAACCCAGAGATCCTACCATCCCATAAACTATGCCCTTGCACTATCTTCAACCTGCTGTTGCTTAATTGTGCACGTCCACTTTTTAGTCCCACGAGCCGCCCCTAATGACTTTGATTTTAAATTTCGCAACCAAAACAAACCAAAGGCAAGCAGTTGTTCGCTAGCGCATTGCATTACATTGGTCAGTAATTCGAAAAAAAAGGCTTTTTAGCTATGGACGTTGTTGAGTTATTTGGAAATTGAGGTGCGGATTCCAAATATGTAGTTAGTATTTGTCTATCAAGCCAGGTTTTTGCAGAATTCACATAGATCTATTCGGTTTCAAGTATTCTTGGTTTTGTCAGGGGAGGAAAGAATAGCAGAGTAAAAATGGAAGTAGCTTTTTGTTATTTCCAGAAATGTAAATAACAAAGAGTTTTATGATTGTGGACTATCTAATATCATATTTTTTCTACGACATATTGTTTTAAAGTTTATTCTTCTTTCATTTCTATAGTTGGATTGTTTGATATAATATATAATGATAGAATTAATGTAAAGGAAAATTCGAAAGACAATGTAAGTAAACTAAACAGTATTTTTAAAATTGTGTGATAAAGTGATTATGAAATTCAAATTTTGGTAATCATTTGATGACTATTTATTCAAGCTGCTGATGTAGATGTAGATGTAGATCTAGTAAGTCGTTCCGTTATTTAGGCCAAGTTGTGTTATTAATTCTGAGAATTCATTTATTGAATATAGTGGCCACTGTCCACTGTCCACATATTGTCTTGTTCTGGTGTGCTGCTATAATGTCTGGAATTTGGACAGAAAAAGCAATTCCCAGGCGTCATTTGTGTTAATCAAGTTAAATGACGCAGTTTAGCTGGACCAGACAAGTCACATCACATATGATGACACGTTAGAACAAAGGAGGATTTTATTCGAGAAAAAAGATGTTACTAATGAAATGAACGTAACAACACTACACTCGGACGTAATCCCTGTACATTATTGATGATGCCCAAAGGGCAATGTAGAAAGGTTTGCACGTTTTCTCGATAGCGGAAAGCGAAACTGGCAGCCTGGTATTTGACACTTCATAATTATTGGGTGCCCATGGTGAGCACCCTTCGCAACTACGTTTTTAATGAGGGCTAAGAGCGGCTGCCATAACATTTACAGTTTTGGAATATAATGATTCATGCCTAGGCCTTATAGATCTAGATCTCGATCTACTTTGCATACATAGAGATAGAAATGGAAGGAGAATATAGTGTGCAGAGTAATTTATGCAAATTTGCTTATATTTCACGTGCGAAATATTATCAGCTTGTAGTATGTGTGTGTGTGTGTAAATGTCTTAATGTGTGTATGTGTGAGTGTATGTTTATTCATGGGGGGG